AGTACTCCTATAACACCTATGACATTCCAAATTATTAACTTCAACACCTCACAGCATTCCTACAGCACCTATGACACAGAAACTATCAAATTCAGCACCTTGCAGCACTCCTTCAGTACCTATGGCACTCCAAATTATTAATTCCAGCAATTGTAAGTTAACTACAGCACTTATATGACCCCGAACAGCGACTACAATACTCAAACAACTTCTATATGAATTCAAACATCAACTTCATGGGTTTAAGCGATAACCACAGCAACCAAACAATCATCCTAAGCTTCCAATCAGCACTCCTACGACCTTCAAACACTCCTAACAGCTCTTAAATATCAATGGACAACAGCCTTGTATCGCAAACGGCTCCCAAACGACAATTTGAAAGCCCAAACAGCACTCCCAAAGCTTTTTCCCAAAGCTTTTAGCTTTTCTAAGTTTCCAACAGCACTATACCCTTCTCCCAGCTCTCAACAGCATTCCTATAGTATCTCTAAACACTCCTAACAACTCTTAAATAGCAATGGACAGCAGCCTTGTATCTCAAACGGCTCCCAAAAACAAGCTCACAAGACGCCCAAAATCAGCACCTATAATAACTCCAAAACAGTGCACAAAATCAGTTCCAATCGGCATCTAAAGTGGTTCCCAAAATAGTGAAAGTATCGATCGAGGACAGCCCCCCAAACCTTAAAGAAAATTACTAAAAATCCGCACCCAACACGGCATGTGAAGCCTCTAAAATTGCAGCAATTAAAACTTTCAAGGAGAATCATAAAGGTTCCCAAAGTATGTATGTTAATTGCTACACGTGTTTGCATACCAAAACCCAATTTTAGTGAAACACAATTAAAGGGATTTTGCATGCACATGACTTAATTCCTACAGTGCGGGATCGAGCGAGCAGTGGCGGGAGACGGGAGAGAAGAGACCGAGCGACTTAGGCTTGGGGAGGAGGCGAGCGAGCGAGCAGAGGTCTTCGACGCAGGGAGGAGCGGGAGAGAATCGGGAAGAAAAGCTCGGGAGCAGCGAATTCAGTCGAATCCCAGAGGAGTAGAGCAAGACGCTCCTCCCTTTTAGAATCGGAGCGGGAGCCGTTATTTTGGAACCGGTTGGGCGGGCAAATAATACCGTTTCCAAATACAGGGGCAGAAAATAAATGGTTTTCCAAATGGAGGGGAGGATTAAATGGAATGTCTTAACACCTGCATTAATTTTGATTAAGACAAAAATTAAATAATTCATTTGAATTTTGAAATTTGAATTTCAAATTCAGGTGAGCTGGTGCCTAGCCCGTGCTCAGCCTGAATCGAACCCGAGTCAAACCTAGGTTGAGTCCGGGCCCGCATCCCGCTAAAGGAGAAAAAAAATGCATCGATTTCCGTGCAAATTGTGCGTGCGCGTAACCCTAACAATATGGGTGTCTTTTCTAGCTTAGGCGGGCGAGTCAATTTAAGCCAAAATTGTGTGTGATGCAACGAGTGCGTTGCTGAGTCACCGAGGGTTAACCTAAGGTCGTTTGATCCTATTGGAACTCATTTTCAGACCCTCTGCATGTTGGTCCTTAGCCCTTGCAACTAGAAGTTGAGTGCTTGGGACCATTCGTGCAAGTTTTCACAAAAATGAGTAAAGAAGCGGTTTGAAGTTCTATGGGAGGTGGGCTCCATTACTAGTCCGCTAGGATGGTCAACCAGGAACTCCTAAGGCTAGATTATGGGTTCTGGGAGTAGGAGACTAAGACCTCACAAAAATGAGGTCAACAACATATAACACATTAAAAACAATATATGTATATGTAAATGACCACAAGAATAATAAAATTTTAACTTAAATATGACATAATATGAATAACAAATAGTCGGCATTGTATCATGGGGTCCATGCCCCCATTTTCAAGCTCAATTGCCAATTTTTTCTTTGATTTGCATGCAGCTTCGTCTGACCAAGCCAAACCATCTTGCCAAACGGGGAAAATAAACCAAGACCTTAGGATCAAATCAAGGCTAGTTAAGCTATTCCTTAACAATATATTCTCTGGATCGACCATATCTGATCGCTAATCTGACATCAACAGGCCAGACAAGTGTCTAACCCCTATAATCGGTGCAACTATTGCATATCATAATTAGTGGGGTTACAAAAATCATTGAAGCCCCAATAAAAATAAAATAAAAAGTTGAAGACTCCTAGTTCTCAGTGATAGGCAAGGTTAGTAGAAGAACAAAACTAAAAACGTCAATATTTATATTGGTCTTAAAAGCTTAAATTGCAAAACTCTTGAGACTTATCCATTTAAAAAGCTTGAAAGGCTGTTCAAGATTAATTCTAAGGCTCATGAGTTATAAAATTCAAAGAACCGTCAGTTCGGTAGTATAGAGTCAAGTGAGATGACGATTACTAAACTTTCAATGCTACTGATAGTTTCCTTAGTAGCAAACCAAAATACATCTTGAGATAGGCTCCCAATCATTATGCCAACTCCAAATCTTCTCAAGTGTAACAAGTATCAGAAGTAATGCCTATCCATCATCCAATGTTTCCACAATCAAAACAAAAATTTATCCATCATCCGCCCTTCCATGTATGAATGAGTTAAATTAAAGCTCACAAAAGAAAAATTTTTATCAAGTGTATCTATATGACCACACTAAAATTTTATGCCAATAATGATGTGACACAACATAACATGACCTAAGCACAAATGTTCGCCAATAGTCAATTCTATAATCTATCGGTTAATTTTATGATTTGTAAGCCTTAAAGCATAGCTGTAAGGTATGAAACCTAGAAGTGGCCCATTCAGCAAGCTTTCACGTAAGTTTATGACGCATTCTTGGACAATATAACTCATATTTGTTGGCAGTGATACTTCAATCAAGCTGGTTTCACTTCCTTAGTTGAATAAAGAGACCAAGGTGCATGGCAATCTGAATGATGAATTCATGAGATCTTAATAGGGTGCCATCATTCTCCCATCATCCACTATGAGCCAACAACGATATACATTTTCAAACTACTGCTATTAAAATCAAAACATCATAGAGCCTATAAACTATCCTTAATCAAATGCACTCCTTCACAACAGATGGACAATTAAACATAGTAGCTTCCATCTTTAAGAACCCTTGAAGGATATGATAAAGTCCTCCCAATAGTTCAAAACCTCCGGTTAATGTATAACCTAATATCAAACCTATCTTCTAAAATCACTCCGAAACAATTTAAATCTAATAAAACTGGTTCGGAATTTAGAGCCTTAAGTGGGTCACCTATAATAAACCCGAGAATAATACAATCAACAAAAGGTTAAACTTCGTTAAAATATAATGTCAGATATTGCTCGAGTATAATCAAGTCAAACAAATCAGGCCGTACAATAGTCTCAACCTAGGTCAAAATCTTAAAAGCAGTAAAAACAAAGATGACAATTTCCAGGTAACTACAGTTATAGCAAAAGTAAGACACCTAAAAAAATAAAAATTTAACATTACCAAAGGTAAGAAATCACAACTTTTGAACCAGGATAAAAAATCAGTAATGCAATTTGGGAAGAGACGGAGAAAAGCAATATGTTAATTGGCAAAAGTTAAAGGGGTGGCAGTACTGGTGAATTTTTACTTCAAGAATTAACAGTTATTCTGTTGCATAAATTAATATTGCATGCTAGTTTTAAAAAATAGAGAAAGCAAGAACCTTTGAGCCATATGTGCAATAGTAATGCAATTAACATATGAAACAGAAAAGAGGCATGCAGAACTAAAACATTATGTTACATAACGAAAAGAATATACAAGCACTGTCTAGATATAATAATAGGTAAATATGGGTAGTATAAAATCACAATTGTCCAGTTAAAATATGTACCCATAACAATCTTCTCAAGCTCAAATAGTCAAATGCATAATATTTTATAGAGTAAAGTGTCAAAATAGTTAATGGGGTTATTTTAGTCTTATAGTCTATAAAAGTGTCGAATTAGTTCTTCAAATTGAGGTTGAAATAGCCCTTCGTGGAAAATATTTTAGCCCATATTAAAAGAGTCTAGCGACTAAATTGACGCTTGTATAGACTTTGGGAATAAAATGGCCTCCAACAAAGAATCAAGAGATTGTTTTGACACTTTTCTCATATTTTATACTTCAAACAAAAAAAGAGTCGACTGATTCTAACATTTGATTCCATAAACATGTTATTTCTTAAAGACCCCAAGAGGATTTCTTTTAACATGTTTGTTAACTACTTTTTAGATTTTTTTACCACATTTTAGGTGTTGCTTCCCTCGGAGGTAAGAGATCAGCCCTAGACAAAAAGTATTTTTATAGCGTATTATTGATCTATAAACATGGAGATTGGTAGTCATTAACACTGTTTATAATAATATTATTAGGACTTTAGAAATGTGAGAATAATAATACATTAAGTAAAATACTTTAAACCTTCTCTAAAGTAGTTTGTTTCCCTAGACATGATTAAAGCAAAAAAAAAATGACAACTCTTTTATAAATATCAACTAAGAGATGAAAAAACGAGAAACTCAACACATAAAATAAGTGCTAGAAGGGGGAAAAAAAGAGAATTGTCTATAATAAGCAAGTTCTATCGCATATTTTCTAAAGAAAGTATTCAGCAAATACTAAACAAATGGTGGTAAAATTAAAATGGAGCCGTCAGAGACTAATGGCCTATTTGGGATCACTTTTATTTTTATTTCAAAATTTTATTTTTATTTTTTTTGTTTATGCTTTGATTTGAATCAAAACATGTTTGGTTATTTCATTAAAAGATGATTGCTTTAAAAACACTGAAAAACATATAAGTTTTTTTGAGTGTTCTCAAAAATATGTAAAAAACAAACTAATCAAACATGTTTTTAAAAGCAAAACAAAAATAACAAAAACATAAATAAAATCGATTCCAAACAAGCCCTAAGAGATCAGAGAACCAGTAAACACGACATGGATAAAGATATAGCAATGATAGATTTACAAATTTTGAGTACAAACCCATTAATTCGGTATCTTTCCCTTACATCCATCAGATGCGGAGATGTGAAAAGACCAGTTTGTAGGCCACATTCCCTCAAAATAGCTTCAGAAAATGTGCACGTTGAACCCTGAAATATTATTTATGTAAGAACAACTATAACTAACAATGGTCAAAATCATAACTTCTATTGTTATGTAATAAAGATTGCTCAACAGAGTAACAGGATAAGCACACCCCAAGAGAATATTCAATATTTTTATGAATGTAAAAGAAATTTCTCAGGAATAGTCCATTAAAAATGAAAACGGAAAAATCAATGTTTCAAGATTGAACTATGAGTATAACACAGAAGAAACAAAAAGAAAAAATAACTTTACTCGGTTATTTGGCACAGAAGAAATGGTATCAAACACATACATTTCATTTATCATGCTTGAAGTGGGAAAAACCAAGTTTACCTAATCAACGAGAAAAGGATATATATGCATATTTACTTGGCTCTCGCTTGAAAAGATTTTGGTGTAAAAAGAGTGTAGCGCTCCTAATGTTCAAAAAATTTATCAACTTGGTGTATTGATTTCAAAATATAGAACTTTACACTACCAGAACTCACATAGGAGTGAAAATGAAAAATAATCCAAGATTAAAAGTAGAATATGATCTTAGTTACAAATATAGCAATAGAGACCTTATTTGTTGGCTCAAGATTTTGAGCTGATCTGATCCACTTCCTAGTGTGCCGTGTTCAACTTAAGCCTCTAGTGTTCCACCCTCAAAACAAGTGATATCATATCTAATGATTTTGGCTAAGATCAAGTGGTTCATATGATTTTTAGGTCCCATAGAATGGTCCAGCAAATTTTAAAAATATATGACTGCCATGAAGGTTCCACGAGATTAATTGAGTGTTTGATGAATGCACTTGAAAGCGGGAATAAGACTAGAAGTAAAAAATACCACCCCATATCTAACTTGAGCCCTTGGGTTAATGTATGTCAATCTACCGGTGCTCCACTAATATTAGCACTACAAAAAGAATATAGCTCAACATTTTGACTCATTCATAAAGGATGATAGCAATACAAAGAGCTACATATCCAAACCCAAAAGAGATAAAATAAGTGCTCTGTCATATTGGTCTTCCAACACTAGCAGTTTGAATTAGAAGTTCACATTGCTTCACCACCGTTATCAAATGTTCATTTCTTGCAGAGGACACACATAAATTTTTAGTTAAAATTAACATAATTAGTCACATTATCAACATATCCTCATGTTGAGAGTAGGGCTATAATTGAGCCAAGTCGAGCTGAGTATATCATAGTACAAACTTGGTTGGGTGTAATTATAATTTGTTCATATTCGGTTTGAGCTTGTGTCGAGCTTTTATATATTGGTTAAGCTTGACTTGATTACATTTTCCAATGTTTGAACTTGATTTGTACTTGATTTTTTTTATAAAAAGTGAACGAGCATTTAAACTAGTTAATAAACAAGCTAAAAATTCAAATGAGTATCTAGATTTTCATATAAGAAAATCAATAAATAATTTTACAAATCTGATCACACCTACTAATTAATCGATTATAAACTCTTTAAAAATAAAAGGAAACTCATGAATCAAGATCACATAAGATGTAATCTCTCACATAATAGCATGATCATACTTCTAAGTTTGCACTCAACTCTAACATTTAGATGTAGGTGTTGGTTTTCCTATAATGATACGCCCTTGTCATTTTCCTAACTCTTTTGGATAATTTTGTAGATGTTTTTTATATTAAGTTGTTGCATCTTCCATATTTTTAATCATATATAACTTATAATAATTGCACTGCACTTTCTCAACATCACTTTTTAATCGGGTAGGATTTATGAGCGCAGTGGAAAAGAGATATACAAGAGACTAGAGTTTGAGAGATCCTTGCACACTGCTACCTCATCCCTGCCTTCCATGCTTGCATGCCCTAACAACTCAAGGTTTCACATGTTTTGAGTGAAACCGGGAGACTCAAAACTGTGAGAGGCCAGAGGGAAAGTGAGGTTTGTGTAGGTTTAAAGATAATTTTAAGGGGCAGTTCATACATAACAGATAAGTGTTATCTATTTTCACATCTAACAGCTAAATTTTAATAAAATAAAAAAAATCATTAATAATTATATATTAATAAAATAAATATATAATTAATAATTAATAAAAAAATATTATTAATATAATAATACATTACCATTAAATCAATAATTAATAAAATTCTAGTTAATTAAATTTTATTCAAATAATATATTGTATATAATACGAGTTATCATCAAACTTAATATCGAGCATTTAACGAGTTACTTGTTAAATAAAGAATGAGTTTGTTCGTGAACATAAATGAATAAGTTCAATTATGTTCATGTTTAGTTCATTGAAGCTTCGAGCTTTCAAAAATTATTCAAGCTTGTTTATTTACTAATTTAAAAGAACATGACCGAGTTTTAATCAAGCGGAGTTCTTGTTGTTCGTCAAGTGTATTGGTTCATTTATAACCCTAGTTGAGAGGATGTAACACTGTGTATCTTTATTCATAAGAGGATCTCCTATTTACAATAGAAAAAATAATTTGATGCCCAAAAGGTCCACGATATTAACAAATAATTACTAGCCATAATAAAACAAATTTTTTAATACAAAATACATGTTGGCCTTCATAATCAAGTTAATAAAAGTATATCAGTTAACTTCTGCATTTTGCATATCTTTGAAAATTGAAAAGAATTATGAAATTTAGAAATATATCTACAAATTATTTTAAGCTAGAGATCTTCTTTGATTGTTCAACATCTAAAATAAAATGACAATCGACTTCACTGTATTTAATTCTTGAATGAAATGTTGCATCAATAACAATTTAGATAGCTATAGAACTATATGGTTATTCCATCAAAAACAAAATTCCATTAGACAAGTTTTGACCCACATACTCCCAACAGTGGAGTTCATCATGGCACTATATTCTGTATTCACGCTAGACCTAAACACCATAGCGCTTATCATTCATCTGCCTGTAAGTCAGGTTCAACAGTTATGCAATACTCAAATCTAAATTTTCTATCATCAATAGGCATAGCACAAATAGATTAAGAGAATGCTTCCATATTGGCATGACCACTACAAGAGTAAGGAAATCAATTCTCTAGAGATCTCTTGATGCATGAGAGGATACGAAAAATGTCTTCTAAAATATTTTTATTTGGTAGCTTGCATGTGCATATGTCCAATTTCCACAACAAGAAATAGTTGTTGGAGTGATAATAAGGCAGATCAATTTACAGACTAACCTTTGATAACAGAAAGTGCCCTTAAACAATTTTTCTACATTAGCAGTAGTCTGAGTGTCCATAAGAATGATGGTAAGTTTGTACCATAAAAGACCTGTTCTAATAGAGAACAATAGTACATTTCCATCGGGATAGTGAAGAAAAAGTTTTCCTTTAGTCTAACTTGTTACCAAAAAAAATCATTGGTGCGACACAAACCCTTTGTGAAGATAATGCTTAACCTTAATAACCCTGAATCACTTTCTGTAAGATAATGTTGTCAACATAGACAAACAAAATAGCAGAGCCTGAAGGTTTGTATCTCACAAAAATAAAGATCAGCAGTGCTAATACGAAAGCTAGCAACTAGGATTTTATAAAGCATTTCAATTCATATGCAAGAATTTTGCATAACACTACAAATAGGGCTGTCAAAACGGCTCGTTGTTTGTGAACAGCTCGTGTTTGGCTCGTTAAGAAGCTCATTTTCGGCTCATTCGCTAAGTTAGCGAGCCGAACACGAACAACACGAACAAATATTTGTTCATTCGTGTTTGACTCGTTTTGACTCGAAATACTATTAATCAATTATATATATATATATCTTTGATGAGTAGTATTTTTAAAAAAATTAATTGACTACAAGGCTACACAGATTTATAATCAATTAAAAGTATTAATGAAGAAAATAGAATAAAAACTATTAACTTAGATTCAAATGATGTTTTAAATGTTGCCCCAATCTTTAACATCTTATAACTACGTGATTAGGATTGTCAAAACGACTCATTGTTTGTGAACGGCTCGTGTTCGGCTCTTTAAGCAAACGAACCGAACATGAACACACTTGTTGAGCTCGAAGTATAAACGAGCCGAACACGAGTTGAGCATTGGCTCCCCCCTACACCCCTAACTACAAAAGACCTTGTAAAGCTTAAGGAATTTGGTCTCCACTCTAGAAACATATCACGGAGGTCATTTCACGTAAACAACTTTCATAAGGTCATCATAAAGAAAGGCATTACTAAATGCATTTATAAGAATGATCATCCATTATTTAAGACAGCACATAATAGAATTGGGACATAATTAATTCCAACAATGGGTGAGAAAAAAATCAAAATAATCACACAAAGATGTGAGTAAAATCTTTTACAACCAAGCATGCTTTGTACCTATCAATAGATTCATCAAATTAAAATTTTATGGTTGGGGCCCATTGGCAAGGAACTAGTTTAATGACAGACGGAAGAGAAACAAACACCCTACTGTGTTGATTTGAAGTAGTCATTTCAGTATCCATAGCATGTTTCCTTAGAAAATGTTGCAAGGCCACTTGGTATGTCTTTGCAATTGAAATTGCGGACAAAGATATAACAAAATAATGGAAAAAATATCAAGGGTCATGCAGAACTAAATAAAATGATTAGTACATGATCATTTACCTTTCTGAATAATGAATTTGGCATCCATAGCATGTTTCCATTGAAGAAGTTGCAAGTTCATTTGGTATTTCTTTGCAATACAATATTGAGGACAAAGATACAACGAAATAAAGTAAAATAGGGGAAAAATGACAAGGACAACCCAAAACTAAATAAAATGATTAGTGCATGGTCATTTACCTCTCATTATAGCAACTAGAGGACAACTAACTCATTACAAAACAGATGATCAATCAATTGAGTCTACTAGGTTGTTTATGGGAACTATAAAGAGAGTAGTATGATAAAAAATTAGTGAAGGAGATAATAGCTTAGTGATCCAAAAAACACAACTAAAGGTGGTTTGAAGATTGGAATTATGGAACCTACCATCATTTGAGATTGCACATGTTTAAAAGAAGAATAAAGGCCAAAGAAAAAATTTAGTAGACCAAAATATCCTCATATTATTGTCAAACCTTTGCCTTTGCGGACAGAAAAAAAAGTACTATAAAGACTATGAAACGTTCAAGACTTAACCATCCAAGTGAGAATGCCATGATCAATTTACTATCATTTGGAAACCTTGACAGTATATTAATGGGAATAAAAGGAGATGCATCAAGGTGGAGAATTTGTCAATAAAGCCAGAAATAAAATTCAACCACTAGAGATAACTGGCACCGTTAAATTATATAGAGAAACCAATGTTCTTGTATAAGATAAAGCTGAAGTAGAAAGAAGATTTCATATCATTGACTTTAAATCAAAGAAAAGTTTCAACCATTGGTTGTGTGCAGAGGTTGGTAAAAGAGAGCATGTAAATGAAAAAAAAAGCAAGACCAAAACAAAGGATGGGGAGCAAGCAAAGTGGGCATGCATAGGTATAGTGGTGTGAATAATTGGCATAAGCAATATAGACACACTAAGCGTGAGCAAACTGCACTGGCATTAAGCATGGGCATGTAGGATGCGAGAGCGAGGGCCCATGCAACGAGTGCGCAGAGCATTAGTTCAAGCATGAAAACAGGGGGCTTAGGCATGAGGGTGAGTTTCATGAGCAACAAGAATCATAGGAACACGGCAAAAGCAGAGGGCCAATACAAAAAAGTGATAAAGCATCAATTGGGAAGGCAATAAGAATTTTCTAGCTTTCAAACTAAATTGAGAGAAATAGATTTATGTGTCGTTATACATTGAAGGATCTCGCATTCATAATAAGAGAGTGCAATGCCTAACAGGAAAACCAAATTAACAAGGGCTACTAGTCATAATAAATCAACTTCCTTGATAAAAAAATATAACACAAACACCTCAAAAGACAACATCATAAAGAAGCCAAGAAATTATCTTACATCAGATCAAATCAAAAATTTAAGTTTAATTATTGGTACCAATCAAAATGCATGCACAAAAAATTGCATTATTTAAAAAAAAAAACTAAAATGTTCTCAGTATTTACACTGATAAATACTTACCTTCCCCTTTGTTCCAGCAATATGGATAATCTTAAGACTAGCTATATGTTGGTCCAAACCTAAAGCCTGGAAAAACAAATCAAATTACTTCACTTGTACAATAATACTATAAAATGCAAACAGAGTAATCTTAAGACCAGCAATACGTCGATACAAACCAAAAGCCTATAAAAACAAAGCAATTTACTTGCACATGAATACTACAAAAATGCAGAGAAAAAGATTAATATAAAAAGCCAAACAATATTATTAATTAAATGTGGAAAAAACAACAATAAGGGTTAAAAATCATTTGTATGATTTTCAATAAGCACCATTATTAATATAAGTCAAAGTCCACCCCCACCCTAAGAAAAACTCACATTCGCTCATAAGCCCATATCATTGTGGTTACATAAAGGATTGGAAGAAAAACTATTACCATGAATGAAAAATTAATACCATGATATGTATAAAATTGGCTTTCCATTAAGTTAGTGAACCTCCACTAAAAGTTGGCAGCTAGTCGCTAAGTGACTGAGAGCAACGAAAGCAATACACAGGTAGAAACTAATTGTTAACAACTAGACTCTAACTTAATAGCTAGTTGTCAACTACTTACTGAATCTCCAACAAGATACCTTTTTGTGTAGAATGACTATATTTTCTAGTCAGGATTGCTAGATTTTTTTTTTTTTTTTTCAATTTTAGAGGCACACCGTGAGTTGTTTTACTCTTACAGCATAAAAACATGAATAATTCCATTAAAATTACTTTTAAAAAAAAAGAAAATTTTGGGGTATCAAGGAAAATCTTAGAGAAAAAATCTAATAGTTCATCAATCATCAAAATTCCTTAAGCAAAACTATTGTAAAATTGTCTTTCAATCTTTTAGTTTGTATTTATGCATTGCGTTCTATTATCATGCAATCACTGTACAAAAGATCTATTGCTCTTTTAACTACTATTGATAACTTTAGTCACCACCAAAATCTTATAAGACTTTAAATAAGATTCTTAAAATTTCTAAACGTTGGATTAGAGGGGTAATCTTATCCATAACCAAGGAGAATGTGTTTTTCCCCTTTGAAATTTTTTATAGTTTCTCAACATATTAATCAATAAGGGAGTGAACTGGTAACGTAATTGCATGCTAGGAGATGCTTAGGGACGGGCCAAACTAAATAAATATTATCATATTTGCTCTCTAGCTAGATTTATACAAAATTATTTGTTTTGCTTACATTCTAGTGATGTTTTGGATGTTTATAAGATCACATGCTAATATTGCAAAGTTATCCTAATTTTGAATCTCAGATTGCTATACTATTCATTAGCTTTGTGTCATTACAATAAACATAAAATTTTGTATAATCAACTAGAACTTGCTCTACATATTATTGTGTTGATCCAAGTATTACGCGCTCATATGTTTATCTATTACATTAACACTAATACTATGCTCTAAATTCATCATTACCATTGTCCATAGCATTAAAGATATCATTATCATAATTGTGCATATTGAGGAAACTTATTATATGTTTCTTGGAATTTATTTATTGTCGAAGCCTAATACCTAGTGTGATTAAAAAAATTTACTAAATTCGTGCTTACTTGATTACATCACTTCCATATCATTCAAGCTTCAATACATAGTATTCTCTTGTTAATATCTGCTCAGGTTGACTTGATCAAATTTTGTTATATATAATATATTGTATTTTATACGTTTCCGCTATGTATTATATCTATATTATATCTAACATGCTTACTATGTGGATTGAATTAGTCAAATTTCACAAGGAAATTCTAAAATGTGAAAAGTGCATGCTCAATTCAACCTCCTCTCCTCTTGGTGTATCTTAAAGTAATAAAACAATCTTTATTTTTTAAAATTAGCCGGCTTTAACAAAAGCTAAAAGCAAGAAATTAATGAGTACATACAATATAACTATCAACTCATCTGGATTTTGCTGAATTTGATAAAAAAATTAGCCCACATGTTCACATGTTCTACCATTTGATACCTAAGATACTGACTTCAGAGTAGCATGCTTTAATATATGGTAGTTCTTTAGGAATCAGAACAAAAATACAATTAAGAAAATGACAGTTAGGATGCAAAACTTGAGATTTTAAAAATTAAGAAAAAGCCATAAAATGGTTATCATGTTAGGCCACTGGGACATCCTAAGGCAACCTATTGTTGGTTGTAGATAAAACTCGGATTTAGTCAAGGCAAACCCTTCCATGGCCCATATACTCATGTGCTCAGGTGTACCTTTTTTTCTTCTTTTGTTTTTCATTTTTTATATGGAATGCCTTGCTTACTCATGGGATGAAAGTATTAAAACTAAAAATAAGATACCCCAATTGAAATAAAAAATACCTGAAGATACCCAAACATCTGATCAAATTTTTCAGTCCTTTTTGATCCATTTCCACGTTTCCGTTTAGTGATTAGAGAGGAAAGGGCCTCCATGGCAGCTTCATATGAGGAGGAAAGTAAATCTTGTTGCTGACAATCAAGAAGTCCATTAGTTCCCATTTCCAGATATTGCAAACCTAGATCGGCTCTTTCTTGGGTCCTGTAGAGCAAGGAAAAAAAACAGCACACAAATTTCTGTGAGATTTTCTAATGTAAGAAAGCCAATGTCAAAATTAATGAATTAAAAGTAATTTAATACAATATAGTCATCTAAAATAGAGAAGTCTAAAGGTTAGACAGAACAGTAAGCAAACCATTTTGAAACTTTTATCCAATTTTTGAGCAAGTAGACCCAGTGATTCTAGAGGAATCATCAATCATATATTAAAATAGTAAGACCTTAAGTAAAAGCATAATTGAGACACCAAAGAAAGCTATTGTTATAAGAAGGAAAAGGTAAGTGATAATATTTAAAAAAATCACAAATAGGACAGTCAAGCTTTCATAGAGATGAGGAGACATGCAAATAAAAAAAATTGCAGTCTTCTATTGCTGTTTTTCCATAACTGTTGTGTTCTTCTGATTCTCGTTACACTCACATTAATTTATACATACAATCCTGAGAACCTTTTGAGAACCCTAAAAATGATTCAGCTAAAGGCTTGGAGGATGAAGCCAATACTTTCCAAAGTCCACATCAGATGCTTTTGTTGCCTTTTTTTTCCATTTGTGAATATATTCAATTGAAATTTATTAAACACCAAATTGACTCCAACTGAATGCTGGCAAAATTTGAACATAAAATTTTTACTGAATCTTATAGAATTCTAAGGGATTTCTTACTTTTGGCGTTTCATGGGTTATAGATAGGACCCCTGAGGCATGTAAAAATCATTGAATAGCGATTACTGAAATAAAATTACATTGTTTCTTGATTCATGTATGTTTGCTAATCAAATATGAATATTTTCTTGAAGTTGAATTAAATAAATACTTAAAGTTACAAGTGGATTCTTAACATGTTATGCAAGTCTGAATATATACCTACATTAGTACATATTCTTAAATCAATATCCAAACAAGAGCAGATGTTTGAATTTGAAACTGAGTTTGAAGCCAAAAATAAACTTCCATTGCAATCTAAATGTGCCATTCAAATTGAGTATCTAAACTTGCATATGATCTTGAAGGCAAATTTTAGCTCCCAATAAAAAATTGAATCTATTCTTGATTGTGAACCTAAATTTCTAATAAAAGCTCATAATTAAGAACCTAAGCATTCAAAGGGCGCTGAAATAATCCTGAATATATAGTCAAACAAATCAAATATACTATAGTTAATGAGATGAATGAGCAAACTTATAAGATCAATACTGAATGTGAAAGCAAAAAAATTTTTGCCTATTAAAGATGGTGAAATGTATTTTTTAATTTTCGGTTTCTTGGCGTACAAATTCATAAAAAAAAAACAGGCATTTCAATGAATTTGTTAAAAAAGAAAGTAATAAAAAAATAGATTTGAATTTCAAAGTCTGGCCATATTTGAAAGTAAGAGCCTCTGCCTGGACTAGCTTTCTTTGAAGTTAGTCATCTAAAATGCATTTTTTACTTGTATATGGCTTTCATACTCAATAATCTTCATCATCTCATCCTCTAAGGATATGTTAGTAGTAATTAAGATATGTTGGCATTCTAACATTTTTAACGCATGTTTTGTATCATTTATATGATTTACATGAAGAGATGCGCTAATGCCATGCAGGTGTTGTTGCCCCAATTTTGGGTGGCTTGTGAGTGTGGGACTCACATCCTTGCATGCACATGTCATCAATCTAGTATTGTCATTAGATGTTGCATATCAGTCATATGATTTACATGAAGAGATTCATACCTTGCCCCAATTTTGGGTGGCTTCTTCTCCTTCTTGACTTGGGTTGCGCTGTGTAAAAATAATCTAATTTTGGACCAAGTTAAATAAAAAACTTCAAACAGCTTTAAAAACAACTATTTAATAAGGCAAGAATTTACAATCAATATTAGCCCACAAATTGAGCAACTTTTGATCGTATCTTTAGCTTTCAATTAATGCTCATCTTTCCAAAGCAATAAAAATTTTATGGTGACCATTATAAGCTAATGTACATCTAAATCCCGAAAAGCTTTCAATTGGAACTTTAAATAAATTAACTATGAGTTGGAAATTCAAGAAATCTTGGCAATTTCAAAACCTCGATATATCTAACTTAATTTTATTTCATTGAACTACTGCCAATATAGCGGATTTAGCTCTCTCTATCCCCCTTTTTTTTAAATTCGCATCAAATGCTACTAGATACATCCTTTCTTTGTTCCATTACTAATCACTTGAGAAAAGCCAGCATTTACCCTCGTTAATCTCCCATATGGAATGAGAAAACTCGAAAGTGGTTTTTTCTGATGAAGATTAGGTTGGAATTTGCCATAATTTCACTGATATTTAAACCTAGATTTATTTAGATCTAAGTTCAAAACTTCCAATGAGCAAAAGCCCTAAAACTAATTACCTTTTTAAGGAGGTCACTTAAGATCGATTTTAGGAATTAAATTTAATGCTATGTTTAAATTTAACTCATGGTTAATGGTTGGAAGAACTGAAGTAGACCCGATCAAAATCTCATGATCCTATCATCTCGGGTATACCGGCGTATCCAATCTACCAATGTCAAAGGATATAAGCTACAAGTCAAGGAAACTTGTTTAGCATCCATTGGTTCCACCTCTCGCAAGTAAGAACAGACTGGGATAGAAATGTATTTGTATGTCGAAGCATCCTATTGAAATTGATGCCAACTCATTCACTAGAAAAAAGCTGATCTAATCAATCTCATTGAAGAGTTCATAGGCACAAAGCATGGCCACTTTTATATCTAATATATTAGATATATAAACAGGAGCCCAAAGGCAAGGCATGAATATCAATTGTCAAAGGATTTTAGAATGATTCAAACAAGCACATTTAAGAAACATTAGTTTTGATTGGTGTGTTTGGCATTGATTGATAGGCTCATTAGTACAAGAGCTGGCTCAATTTTAGTTTAGGTTTAGGGTTTATATTGATTATAAGGTAAGTGAATTAAGCATAATTTGATGGGTTTGCTAACTTTGAATCGATGCAAAATAAAGTTTACATCTATTGGAAAAACTAAGTTCAGATTTAATGGATTTGTTAGCTTTGTTTCTTCCCAAGCTGACGGCATGGAGTCTAAATATGCTTGAAAGCCCTTAAGCAAGACTCATAAACTCGACAATAAAAAAAGTTTACTAATGGGAGCTATTGTAAAGTAACGCACCTAATTAGGTTTTGTTTGATAGGCTAGATGGCATTATGCCTATCAAATTAATTTAGTAAAATTGGAAGCTTACATAAATGGGACAATCATTATACATCATTTAAGTTCTTAATTTAAGTTCGATATTTATAATTAACTTGATCTGAAGTTTTACGTTAACAGATCTATCTGTGAGTTGCCCAGAAAGTTGTAACTTACAACCCTATTTTTGGACATAACCGTGTGTGGGACTAACAATTCATATAATAGAATTGGACAATAATGAGTTATAATGAGTCTTACAACCTCGCCCTATAAGCAAGGCAACATATTAATTAAGTAGGGTTGATTTTGATTTGTGATATGGAACATCTTTAAAGTGTGTTGAGATGATTCAACATGACATGAGATCAATACAGTATCAATAAGATTAAGCTCAGGTCCTCGCCCCATTTGTCTTATCAGGGTTGAAATCATAATTTCTAAGGTATGTCTAAATTAATTTTATAAGCATTTCGGTCACTTGGATGCCCGTTAGAATTATCGGTGTAGGTTTAAGCTCATTTGAGAGCCCCATGCAAGTTAGCATAGTTTTTGATAAAGTAGCGTAGTAATCAATCTACAACAATGCTAACTTTATTTAATATCGACCAAAAAGAATACTTTGACAGAGATACCAATTACTAATAACATGAATCAAACGTGTATCAGTCCCATAAACTTAAGCAGATAATTTTTTATACTCCTTCCGCAAATCATGCTACTTCTATGAATCCAATTTCAACATCGAACTTACGAAGCAAAACGCGAGAGTCCGAATCCAATTCCAGTGCATCAAAATGCTAATGGGGACAAAAAGAAGTATAAGTATAAGCTAGGGTTTCACCTTCGCCGGTGAAATTCTCCGCGTAGAGCCGCCGCCTGCCGCTTTGATTCCGAGTAAAGGATTGAACTTGGAACCACGTGACCAGAGGTATAAAATTGAGACCGATGTGAAAGGCGTATATTTGTTTGGTGAGCACGCGGAGATAGATGGAGATATGGTATTTCCATGAGCCATTGGAAGAGGCAGTCATGCTAATCGGCTAAACGTAACCATTGAAAATGTGTCATATACATAAATATGTGTTTGTATATATATATATATATGATGTATTTCACTTTTAAAAGGTAAATAATAATGATATTTTTTATATAATATTAAAAAATGAAATATTATGTATCTAAAAATGAATGTTTAGATGTTAGAAATATAAATACATAAGAATTGTGTGATATGTATGTTAATCCCCCTAAAAATATATATTTAAAACATGATAGTTTATTTTTATTTACGTAAATGTAAAAAATAAAATATTATTTTTGAGAGAAATTTAAATAAATATTAGCATATAATCATTGTCAAAGAAATTATTGACCCTACTAACAGTCTATTGCGGGCTCATAAATATAACTTGGAATAAACCATTAAATAAATAAAACATTCGGATAAGCATAATCAAATAGTTTTGGTTCAGTATTAAAAATAAAATTTCTATATAATCATATATTAAATAAAATTATAATTAAATCTTAAATAAATACATTAGCTAGCCTAAATTAAACTTCTTCACCTACATGCCACCGAATTCCTATGTATTCACATATCTAACACCCAAAATTTGATGTTTAGATTTATGCCACGCAAATCTTTTGCATCACATAAAAAATATCACCATTCGAACTTCTAAAAATTGAAATACACCTTCTCATAGATATATATAAGGTCTCAGATGTAAAAACCAAAATTTAGGTGTTAGATACGTAAATACATAAGAATCAAGTGGTATGCATTGGAATCTTCCTATTATTTATGACCATGAACCAATCAGACATTAAACTACTCAAACATGTTCATCAATCAATTGATTATTTATAAGAACACCCAAGTTTGTAATTCACTCATACAACAATGATAAATTTATAAGAAATCCAAAGTATCCAACCACAAAGTACATAACAAATAAAGATCTTAGAAAAAAGAAAATCAAATATATGAATAATTATACAACCTTTCTTCCTCCTCTCTGACTGATATGAGCTCTTATAAACGGCTCAATGTTTCCACTCAGAACAGAACTGAGCTCATGCAATGTTACTCCAGTTCTTAAATCGTGTACTGATTTATGAGGGCGAAGCATATACCTCCTTGTCTCATAATTATTATTAGTTTTCTTCAATAAATCATTATTTTTTATCGTAGTTGTTTCTGTTTCGGTTCTCTCTTCCATTGCCATCACAAGAAGCTTTGCTTTGAGGCGATTGAGAGCTTTCATCTTGTTTGCAAATTGGCTCCTCTCACCTGCATGCCTTTAGATTCGTATAAACAAATTGCAGTTTTACATATTTACATATCTAACACACCTGAACTTTATTTTTTTTACATTTATAACATCTAAATCTTTCATATCACATAGAAAATAACAACATTTTAACATTTAAAAAGTGAAATAAGCATTTACATAAGAATTGAGTGGTATTATGTAAATATTCCTTCTGAAATTAGAACTTAATCGAAGAAAGAATACTGTAAAGCTTTCCCAATTTTTTTCTTTTTTTCTTTTATTTTTTTATTTTTTACTAATGTCACCTAATAATAAGAAAGTATGCAATCAACATTGTGCAAACATGCAGGAGACAAGTGTAATACAGGTTTATCGCAAGAATCTCAAAGCAAATCTAATTTCATAGAGTTGAGATATCAAAATGTTTTCCCTCTACTTTGCATAATCATTAGGGCTGTCAAAAAAGCTCGTTGTTCGCGAACAGTTCGTGTTCGGTTCGTCAACGAGTTCGTGTTCGATTCGTTCGATAAGTAAACGAGACAAACACGAACAAATTTTTTTCGTTCGGTTAGTTAAACGAACCAAACACGAACAGTGATGCGTTCGTTCGTGTTCGAATCATTATTGTTTGAAATATAAAATAATTATATATAAAAAAATTATTATATTTTAAAACATTAAATTTTATAAATTATAATATATAATAAAATAATAATAATAATATATTAATATACTATAGTAGTAATATACTAATATAGATATTGTATATTTATATAATATAAGTTATATAATTAATATATAATATTATTTTTATATATTAATATTAGAGATGTCAAATTTTCGGTTCGTGTTCGGCTCGTTCGTTAAGAAACGAACACGAGCTTATTTCAAACAAACTAAATTTTAAACGAACCGAACACGAACAAAAGCTTTGTTCGTTCGTGTTCGGTTCGTTTACACCCCTAATAATCATAACAGGATTTGTTTACCAAACTAAAATATTTAGCATGATAAGTACCTCAATTTTGACTCCCTGACAAACCAAACATCATTGCAGCATTATCTTTCGCTCAATAATAGCTTGATAAAGGTTAAATATATGCAAAAATATACGCAAATCATATTATGTTCGAGATATATGATTACTTGTTTTCCTGTACATATAAATTTATATAATTTGTAACTAGCTCCATAAACAAACAAGTGAAACGCAAACAACAAATCTTTTCTCACCGAGCAATCTAAGCCAAACAAAGGAGTCTACTTGAATTTGCTCCTTTACACCTCTAATACATGATTTTATGAGGCTTAATCAGAGGTGATGTTTCTAAATGAGACCAGAAACCAATTTTCAATAAAGTGGGATTTACATACACAGCACACAATTCTTATGTATTTACATCTCACACAAAAATTTTCATATATGCACACATTGCACTCAAATCTCTTATATCAAATAAAAAATAGCATTATTACTACTTTCCAAAAAGTAAAACACACCATTTCATGCATAGGTTTAAGACGTCAAAGTGCTATGTATGTAAATATGAAAGGTTAGGTGTGAGATGTAAATCCATAAGAAATACGTGCTAACTATGTAAATTTTCCTTAAATAAAATACTGCATATGCATAAGCTAGCAAGACAGTACCTGAGCACTGCACAACTGTGTTGCTTGGAATATGACGGATGCTGACTGTAGTTCTGCTTTTACAGAAAGTTTCCTCTTGAGATGAGGAAGATATCTCCATATCTTTATCATCTATGTGATAATCAGCCATATTCTCAAGGAAAAGAGGAATCACATCTATGCTTGCTGAACAAGTCTGTCAAATAAAAACATAACAGTCAGTCGGGTAAAGGGAAATCCACCTAATATTTGTCAGCACAGGTTATTTTATGTATATTATATGAGTAAAATGTCAAAATAGTCCTCAATATTTACATTGGGTCCTTTTAGTCTTAAGAGTTATAAAAGTTTTAAATTAGTCTACAAACTGTTTTAATGGAGGCCAAAATAATCCTCACAGGTACTATTTCAACCCATATTAAAAAAGTCCGGGACTAATTTGACACTTTTCTATCAATCTATGCATACATATATATATATATATATATATATATATATATATATTGAAATTATGAGCGATAAATTACAGAGAAGGAGCCTTGAATTCATGGATCATTTCACTACTCTATATAAATTAAGGAAAGACGATGATAGTCCGTTGGAAGCAGAAGACCTGCAGAAACAGTGATGAATTCCAAAAACAAATTGTAATATTGTTGTGACCATGTGAAGTGTAAGAAGAAAAAGTTCTTTCCAAGTGTGTCATATGGGGTGAGAGTTGATAGCTTATCATTAGGCTTTTACTATTTGAACGAAAGGCTCGGTCGTGTTTTGAAGTTGTTCATAATCAGCTGAAGGCATTTGGCTAGAGTTTCAAGCTAAGAATATGGTCAAACCTTATTTTTAGTAGATTTTAAGTTTATAGTGGAACACTAGTTATCTAAATCAGGCTGACTAATAATATTATATAAAGTGACGAAATAGTCCCCCTACTATTTACATGGACTATTTTAGTCCGAGAGTCTAAAAAAAGTGTCTCATTAGTTTCATATTCATGGCCTGAAATAGTCCACAAAAAGAATTCTTTTAACCCCCATTAAAAAAATCTAAGGACTAAATTAACACTTTTATAGACTCTGAGATTAAAATGACCCCTTGCAAAAAGTCAAAGAACCATTTTGACATTCTCCTCTTATATGTGATCATATCTGGAAAATTAGTTGTGTTGTAGCAGCAGATTCATGAACAAGTATATTGCAATTCTCACAAAAGTTTGTCATGTTCAATCCCTTCATCTGTCTTTCTCTTCTGAAGTTTGAGAAATTGGTAGAATTAAAATTGAGTTGAATCCAATAATTTTGAGCCTTTATCAAAGAAAACTCGGTCAAACTCACCAAAACATCAGCCATATATACCATGATAAATACAAGGTTGGAAGTAAACGACATTTATATTTTGATTATATGTTATATGAATCGGTTAATAAGTATATTTCAAATCTATTAAAAGAAAAAGTGTACAAGTTTGAATCCTAGTATTGGGCCAAGCTATGCAAGCTTACCTCCCACGTTTGAAAGCTTTAATCATTACAAACACAAATTAAAAATAAAAGGGAAAAATATTATGATTTATAATATTAAGTTGCGGAGCTTAGTTTTTCCCCTAAGAACAAAAGGCCTACATAAACTCAATCATGGAACAAAGTAGTTCATTTAATGTGTTTAGGGCTTTCACAACACTTTTAGGACTTTTTTGGGACCATTTTTATTTTTATTATTATTTTTTTACATTTATTTTTAAAAACATATTAGTTGATGTATTTTTTAAGTTTTTTTTTTCATTTTTAAACCAAATTATCTTGTTTTTAAAACATTTAAAATAATATTTATATTTTTTAGTATTTTAAAAAATGATCACCACTAATAAACATGCTTAATTTCAAAGTTCAAAATAAACAAAACAAAATAAATAATAAATAATTAATAATTAAAATAAAAGTGATCATTTAGGCTATCCTATTTTTTTCTTTGTAAAGGAGGCATCATTAGTTGACATATAAGATATTAGAAACGGCTAAAACTCCAAAATTGAAACTTTATTGACATCAACCGTAACCATCAATTAGAATAATTTGAATATTTCATGGACTGTTATTTATAACTTCTTTTATTCTCAATGTTTTAAATTAAGTATCATCAAATTCTTAGCATAAAGGTGCTAAAAAGGTCATGTAAATTTAAGATTTAAAGGGACATGGAGATAATTACCTCACGAATAATAGATCCATCAAGAGAGCTGTGGATCATTCTATGGATTCCTTGCTCTCCAGAAAGGTAACCATACATGCACTCCTTTTCAAACTCAATGGTGGCTAACTTGGTGCCGCCTCCCGAAGAAGGAAATGTCTCCGAACCTGTCACATTGTGGCCAATTTTTTCAGCCCATCTGGTATACATAAGCTGGATTGTTTCTGTCCACATCTGTAACAGAAAGAAAAGGGGAAATTTACATTCATACCACACAATTCGTTAGGATTTATATATCTAAAACCAAAGGTTTAATATTTACCTGTAAAACACTTTGCTGTCATAAATCTATACATTAAAAGTGTATTTCCCTTTTAAAAAGATAATGATGGCGGTATTGTTGATGTAAATATAATTATATGTAAATAGATAAGAAATGTGTGATACAAATGTAAATGCTTCCAGCCCCCAAAATGTTTAAAGATATTAAGTTACATTTCAAAGCAGTTTTAACTTTTGTGCATACAAAATATGCAGCAAGTCTAGGGGAGAAAAAATCATCTTTAATTACTATAGCTTAGTTTTAAAACAAAATGGGAAATTTACATATGTAGCACACAATTCGTACTATTTACTTATCTCAAACCTAAACTTTCATATTTACACACAGTATTTTGGTACTTTAAACTTATGCATGAAAAAGATTATTTCAGTTTTAAAATGTGATAATAGTGCTATTTTATTTAATATTAAACATTTCAGTGCTATATGTGTAAATATGAAAATTTTGGTGTGAGATGTAGATAGATAAGAATTGTATGCTATGTATATAAATGCCCCCAAAAAAAAAGAGTTGACATTTAAACCTCAGAAGCGGTGCCTTCTGTTCCAGCTCTAATGATCATGCAAGCACCTTCTTTGTCATATGGACCCCTAAGTAGTTTAGACATCTCGTAGCGATCGAGGAAATCATTAACATCCAACGATGCACTATATGCTTGCTCGAAGAGCCGACCGTTTATAATATCCATCTCAGCCAACTGAGTAATCAATTTCGCCTCTTCAGCCTACACAAGAAGCAATAAAAACTCTGAAACCAAATTTAATATTGAAAAATATCCTCAACAAAAAATATGCAAATATACAGATATTTGGCAGCCAATTAACACAGATAACTATGGAATTTAAACTTTGATCAAATGAACTCACATCATGCTAATCTGTTAGAGGAGAGCACCTTATGCCACATGTCTTTGAGATTGTTGACAGCTTTAATAGAATCAGCAAAGGCACTAAGAGATTCATTAGACGAAGTTATATCATCATCCCACAGATTGCATTCCCGAAGAACCTCCTCTTGCTTAATCCTTCTTTCTTCTTCGAACTTCATTGCCCCTGGAGCCATCATTTCGGCACGATTGACAGTCTCTTCGATCTTTTTCTTTAATGAAAATAAGCCTAAAATGAAATGGTTAAAAAAAAAGGGTCAATAGATCAAAAGGAGGTAATAGGAGATGGCATAAAACCAGATTGAAGAAGATTAGCAAACCATAAAGGTGCTTTTACTTGCATACCACTCAATATGTATTTACATATCTAACATCTTAATTTTGCTATTTACATTCATATTACATTAAAAATATAATTATTTTTTAAACTTTTAAAAAGCAAAATACAACTTTTCATGCATAGATAAGGCAGCGTATATGCGAACATTAAAGTTTAAGTGTTAGATATGTAAATACAGATAAATTGAGTGGTATGCATGTAAATCTTCCAACCATGAAACATACCCAACAACCGTGCAAAACTACATGATGGGTAATCTGATATGATTAACGCTTCTACAGCCATTTCACAAGTTAATCAGAAAGCGCATTGGCGCATACACAAAGTGCAATGGAGAAGCATCTCATAACATATAATTCTCAACTCAAAAGTTTATCAGACCAATTAATATACTTAATTAAATATGATATACATACATGCATGCATGCATGCATGCATGCACACACGCGCACACACACACACACACACAGGGGTGTAAACTAACCGAACACGAACGAACAAAGGCCATCATCGAGATCTGCATTCGGTTCGTTTGAAATTTAGTTTGTTTGAAATAAGCTCGTGTTTGAAATTGTTCGTGAAGTCACTGTTCGTGTTAGTTTCTTAACGAACAAGCTAAACACGAGTTGTTCGCGAACAACAAGCCAGTTTGACACCCCTAATATTAATATATATAAATAATATATTATATTAATTATATAACTTTTTTTTTTTAAATATCATAAATTATACATATATATATAATTATTTTTAATTATTTTATATTTCGAACAATAACGATTTGAACACGAACGAACGCATCACAGTTCGTGTTTTTAACTAATTGAACGAAAAAAATTTGTCCACGTTCGTCTCGTTTACTTATCGAACGAATCGAACGAACTGTTCGCGAAAAAAATTTGTCCACGTTCGTCTCGTTTACTTCTCGAAGCCTAATTTGACTTTTTCAGGCTGAACTATTGCCTATATTAGCCTAGACTGCATGATCAACCTATGAACTCTAAAACGTTGAGCATAGATCGTGAACCCATCAAACAATAGGCCAAATGGCCCTAACTAGTTTGATACAACTTAGAATGGATAAAACTATCCCGACACAACAGGGTAAAATGAGAAGGGTTTAACATAATATGTGGCCGAAGAACTAACGTGTATGATTGATATGCCCTTAAAGGTACAAAGCTCTTGATTAATCACAATTTTTCAACCAAAAATATCAAGGATGATGACTTTGAGATCCTCATATGGCTATATAAAAAATGGATGATGATCCCTTTGACATGAACATCATCAAATTTTATCAAGATTTGTGAATGAACCTTCATTGAATCCGTAGAATTAAGCATAAGTTTCAAGATTATTGGCAGCCTAATATGGATTTTTTACTACACAAATCTAGTGTTCAAAAACCTTCATCACACTATTTACTATGATTTATCTCCAAGAAAGTGATGGTACAGCACAATGTTGATATGGAGTGAATTTTACCATTTAATCACTCATAGAAACAAAATAGCACTAAGAGAGGGGTGTTTTAGTCCAACATGAATGTTAAGGATGAAATGGTTCAATTATCCACCGTACACTTCATCAAAGAGCAAAAAAATCCTTCTAATGCAAAAAATGAGCGCTAAAAATTAAGTGTTTGTTTAAGATCTTTTTTTTTTTTTTTTTTGCTTTAGTTTTAAAATATCTTCATTTATTGTATTTTTTTGTATGTTTTTATTTTTTGATTTCAAAAATAAATTAGCTTACTTTTAAAAACAATCAAAATGCATAAAAAATTGTTTTGATTTTTTTAAAAAAACAATTAAGCATGTTAAAACATACCAAAGTATAAACATAAAAAATTTAAATAAAAATAAAAAAGATCCCAAACGGAACCTAAGGAAACATCTGTCTCATTTATCCTCATTCATTTCTTTGAAGGAAGCTTCATTGAGTGTCTTTTGTGCCGTTTAAGATTGATCGCTAACTTAGATATTGAAGTGCCTTCCTAGGGGTAAGTTCATCGAGGAGGCTCGTATTTTTGAATGTGTGTGTACAGAAAACGGGCTCATTCTAAAGCCTATGTCTTTTGAGACGAAGACGAAGTAATTTTTAACTCATAATAGTGGCAAACATTAAAGTAAAGCATAAATTATAGGAAGACATACATACCATTCAATTCCTACGTATTTACATATGTAACAGCTAAACTTTAATTTTTAATATATACCACCTTACCTATGCATAAAAATGTGTATTTTACTTTTTAAAATTTAAAAATGGAAGTATTTCTTTATGTGATATGAAAGATTTGGGTGTATTAATGTAAAAAGGAAAATTCAGGTGCTAAATATGTAAATACATAAGAATTTGATAGTATATATGTAAATGCCCCTAAATTACAAAGTCCTCGACAATCATCTCTAAAAAACATTAAATTAAATAACATCATTTTTGCAAACAATCAAAACTTATTTTCAGCTCGATCCTTACACAAATTTACCTGCAAAATCACAGAAAGCTAAAGAAAGAAGCTAAATCATATATAGACTGAAACGAAATCAATATGCTCCTATTTACGCTAAGTATCTGAATTAAGGTCACTAATTTTCTAACCACAAGTATTCCTCATCCACAAGAGAAATAAAAGCTTCAACATCTTCCTTCGATTCTGTTGCAAGTTCTTGAAGAGATTTAACATTATCCGTAGAAAGTGGAACCAGTTCAAGTAAATTAAAAGAAATAATCAGCAAAATTATCAACAAATGCAATAAGTTTTTACAAACATATTTAACATTTTACTGCAACGTCCTATTCCGAAGCAGGAGAAGAAAAATAGGCACATCTCAGCAGATAAAAAACCTATGGAACCTATAACCAAACTCTTCCATAGCTACACATTTTTATATAAAACACTTCAAGAACAAAAATTAAAGTCCATCAATTGAGAGAGAAGTGACGTACCCAACTCTTTAAATATTTTGGCGTTCCTTCTCTGCATGGACTGAGCAGCACGAAAAGAGCCCAAAGAGAAATGGACTCTCACCGGTGCAACCATTCTTGGCCGGAAAGCCGTCGGGTTTCCCGCCGAGGGCGATTTCGCCATTGGAGCGAGCAGAGGTGGTGAGGAGGGAAACGAGATGCCATTTAAGCACCGCGAGTTAAATTTGGGAAAAAGGGAGGGCTGGCGCGTTGCTGCTCACATAGTCGAAATCTTACAACGTACGGCGATGAGTGGTCCGATTGCTTTGGGCTTGGTGCTCATTTCAATCCGACGGCTGAGAGCATCGCAAAGGTCAAGAAAAACCGATACGTAAAGCCAAATTAAAATCATGCTATTTCAGTTAATTGATATTAATGATTTTAGCGCTATAAATATGGAACTTTAATTGTACAATACGTAAAAATTGTGTTATATGCCTGTAAATGCTCATTTATTTTCTATATTTTTATTTAAAATTAAACATATTCTATATACATCACATAATTAATTATTGTTAAAATCACTCAGAATAAATTTTAAATATTTTAAGTGTTTTGAAAAATAATTTATTTTTTAAAATAAAAAATAAAGCATGGAAAAATTATAATAGAAAAAAAAAATTTTTAACTAGTATTATAATGAATGACAAATATAATAAAAAATTAAAAAATAATTAATGAAAAATCACTTAATATGAAATGTAAAATATAATTATTTTTACCATTGTTAATAACTTAAAGAAAATTATTAATTTTTACTGTATTTCAAATATATTTTCAATTAACCATTTTTTAAAATAAGTCCGCACACAAGCCAACGAATCAAGTCGAGATTAAGTGAAGCTTAGCTTGTTAGCTCATCAAGCGCAATTCATGAGCCACTTATTTTGACAAGCCCAAGCCAACTCACTAGTAAGCTTGGCTCACTTGCACCCCTAATTGGTGCTAGGCTTTAGAGCACCTCACATAACCATCTTACCACTGCAACTTTTTTATGCATCCATAAGATTAATCCATACAGAACAAAATCCTTGGCAAAAGATAATTCAAAGACATTGAATATATCTACTTCTAATATGTCAACACCATGAAATTCGATTTAATTATAAATTCAATAATACACCATAAACAGATTGAAATTTTTGGCTTCTATCAAGCTAGACCTACTCGACAGCCTCTAAAGTCAGGGCACAAAATCTACCATTACTACTAATTTTGGCACAAAAGGCCCAAAAAAAAAACTTGATTTTTACACTGAAGTTTGAGTTCTAGAGGGACTCTGCAAATTGATGAGCGTCCAGATCAAGTTCCTGTCTCATAACACAGTTCATGAGCCACTCACTGCTGAATGTTCGCACCCCCATTTTGGCTGCAGAAAGAGCCTCCTCCATTTCTTCCTCACAGGCTACAAATATGGTCTTTGATGGCTCAATCATTCGTCGCATATCATGTATCACCTGTAAGTATTATATTTTTTTTACAGATTAGCATATCTTCTCACCTGAATAGAAGCATGTATTTGAACTTTGGGGCATTTACATACACGCCACCCAAATCCTATGTATTAAACATATATAACGCCTAAATTTTCTTTTTGGGGCATTTAAATAATTAGCTCCCCAATTCCTATGCATTTACATGAATAATACATAAAGTCTAGTTTTCACATTATAATGCCCAAATATTTCATATCACATAAAAAAATGCCACTATTTTAACGTTTTAATGCATATGTAATGTGGGATATATGTAAAAATTGAAGTTTAGGTGTTGGAGATGTAACTACATAAGAATTGAGAGGCATGTTCCTTTACTTTGAGGGCATTTGTATACATACCTCCTAATTCCTATGTATTTACATATCTAATGCCTAAACTTATTTACATTTATATCACTCAAATATTTCGTATCACGTCAAAAATACTATCTTTTTAACTTTTAAAAAGTGAAATACACATTTTCATGCAAAGGTGAGATGGCAAGTATGTATAAATTGTAGTTTAGGTATTAGAAATGTAAATGCATAGGAATTTAGGGGCATGTAAATCTTCCATAACTTTTACATTTATATCACTCAAATCTTCCATATCACAAAAAAAATACCACTATTTTACTTTTTAATAAGTTAAACACTTTTTAATATATAGATACAGTGGCATACATCTAAAAATTAAAGTTTAGGTGTTAGATATATAAATCATAGTAATTGAGTGATATGCACGTAAATTTTCCTTCAAATTTATATCTCAAATATCATTAGGGCTGTTAAAAAATTCATTGTTCAAGAACAACTCGTGTTCGACTCATTAAGTAGCTCGTGTTCGAATCATCCGCTAAGTAAACAAGTCAAACATGAACAAATTGTTTAAGCTCGAATTATAAACGAGATGAACATGAACAACCCTTTGTTCGATCGTATTCGGCTTATTTTAACTCAAATAAGGAAATTACACACACATAGACACTATTTATATAATAAAATATTATTCCCAGATCAGTTGGTAGAGCATCTACTTCGGCGGTATAAGTCCCCTCTGGTTTGGGGTTCGAATCCCATCTCTGGCAACTGTTGCCTTAAGTAGGGGTACTCAAATATTTAGGTGCATGGATAGCCCCCCAAACATGACGGGGTTTGAGGTGAGTTGAAGACCTCACGGCCCGACGCATTCTTTTAACCATATATATATAATTTAAATCATAATAGTTAGTAAGGTCATATGGTTCTGCTCTTTTTATTGCACAAAATAAAAAGAGCAATTGAATTAATTTCAAGCCGAAGACGAACACACTGCACATGAACGAGCAATTTTGAACTAATTACGAACGAGCCGAACACAAGCCAAGCACGGCTCATTTACAGCCCAACTATCATAGCAGATATGTTTAAAGAAAAAATATTTACTAACAATATTTCTCCAATTCTTCCATATTTGTGATGCCTACGAAGGTAGGCGTCCAGTGGAGAAGAGATTCTTTATTTGTAAAATTTACTAACAAAGATTAGCAGAGCAAAGCAGTTTCATATGTATGAAGTAAATTTGATGGATAATGTTTGAAAAATTGACATTTGGGAAAGTAAGAATAACCTTGAGAAATTATGAAGAAAGAATTTTAAGGCATGTGATACTGAAACTAGTTGAGATGTGGAGTAATACAAAAAACAAACATTTATTAATATAAAAATAGTGGTACAATACGGCTCAACAAAAGAAAAATACAATAATAGGCGAAACCCTAGCTAGAGCTAGAAGAAGAGATTCAAAGGTGGTAGTGGAGGAAGTAGAGGTGGCGGTAAAGTGGTGGAGGAATGCGGGGATGGTAGGTAGCTAATGGAGTGATAGGGATGGTAAAAGGGATGGGTGAGTAGTAGCGAAGGAGTTTGAAGTTTACAACATCACATCGGAGCAAGATAAAACCGAAGCACAACATGTCGTCAGTTACAACCCTAACAAGAGGGAAGAGAACTTGTCCCCCAAACACACAGAGGACAGCTAATTATAGCCTCCTAGTTCTTCACAAGAGAAAGGAGAATGGGGAGGTAAGAAGAATCTAGAAGAAAAACTTTTCTAGAAGAAAGTGTGTAGAAGATGCATGAAGCAGCTTTGGATCGCGAAGATTTGCGATCCAATCCCTATTCCATACGCGAGATTGCGATCCACCGCCCAAACTCCAGCATTCGTGCGTTCACAGGCTTTCGCGTTGTACGATGCTTCGAGCAGACTCGGAAGGTTTTGCGGGACTTCAGCCCAGCTATTTCGAAGTGCCCCGCTAGGGGCGCTGTTTTGCGCCCAATTCGGACGTTGTTAGGCATCTGCGCCAGCATGTGTATGAAATATGGTCGTGTTTTGGAATATTAACAAAACTAAAGATAATTTAACAAAGTCGTACATGAGATACATGATTATTTATGTGAAAACTTCTACAAGAAAAAAAGAGAAAAATTATCATCGCATCTACTTGATATTGTTTCATCATAATAAGTTTAGGGTTTCAAAAGGCATCCTTCCCTATTACTAGAGATAAATTTAATAATATGAAATGGTCAAATTGGATTCTGATATGTCTGGAAATTCATACCACAAGAAAAAAGAGTTTAACTAAGGAGGGCTTTGTGCTAAGAGAACTGAGAAAAATGAAAAATGAAAAAAAAAAAGAGGTTCTTTAATATGTAAGGATACTCTTTTATATTAAAATGCTCACCTCTATTTATAAAGGGAATGACTTATGCATTACAAATCAAGAACTCATTACACTCGAAACGCGAGATATCATCGTTTTATTTATCGTCTTCTTCTAGCATGGGTGTTATACCTAATATTGTCATGATCTCCCCCTAAATAGATAATTGTTCTTTATAAAATGTATTTCCTCGAGCATAACTTGATGCTCGTTTTGTCTGTCAACTTGTTCATGGGGTGAGTTGATATTCTGCGTGTTGATCTCACGAGGAGTTGGCCAACTTAGCTGTGAGAGAAGTTCAGCTTTATTAGTGAGTTATTGAGATGACACAGTCTGGTTAGGCATATGTATGCCAATCATCACAGGCAAGCTAGTGACCATAACTCCTTGGTTGAACGAGTTGATTTTGCTTTATTATTTAGCCAATGCGGCGAGTTCTCCCACTTCATATATTGTACCCTCTTTGAATGCGGTTTATAAAGTTTTGGCAAAATATATTTCGTTCTCTAGTTCTCTCATTTCCTTGATAGTGGAACTACGAAAAGAATTATAATAATTCATATTATAATACAATGATGATATTTAACTAAATTATTAATTTCACATGATTCTCTTGAAGTTTGTGCATTTTCATCCTTACAAATTGAGTAGAACGAGTGCTAGGGTCTTCTCTTCAAATCTTTCTCCTATCCTCTTAAGTGTTTTCTTCTTTCGAGTTTCACTTTCTCAATAGTCAGATAGTGAACCGAAAAGGGATTGTTTGTCAAACGAAAAAGGGAATATGGCTCTGACAAGAAATAAAAGAAGATCAAGTGTTCAAAGGGGTTTTCAACTGCATCTCATAAGCTAGCTCCTACTAAAATTCTGTTCATTTATTCACTAACTCCTTGAGGCTTGGGTGACCGTCAAAAGGTTGTCTGCATCGAGTTTGGTTCAGACGGACTTCAAAAATTCCAATAGCCTATCTTTGCCTTTACAAATAGGACTTGGGTCAGGTATGACACATTCATTAAAATTTATGAATATTCATATAATTGCAAATGAACTTACGTTCAACAAGCTCATGGAGTCATGGGTGATGACCATGTGGGAGATGAGCAGATTGAATTTGAATGAAGTGTCTATTTTCCCTGATAGAATTGCTAATTTGGTTAAGGGAGGAAATCAAACAAAAGGTCTTTTTGAAGTTTGCTACCTTTGGAAATGGAGAGTTTTTTTTTTTGGGTTGTGGGCGTGAACTCGCCTTTTAGAGGCACGTCGTTTTCTAAACCTTCTTCACACTGGTAAGTTTAAAGTTTTGCCATTTCATTGGCGAGGTTTTCTCCTGAGAAAACTTTATTAGCAATTCCCACGACGACTCTTGCATTGCCCGAAGCAAATTTGGGCTTTGGAGAGAAGAGTACAGAAGAACTTTGCTCTAGAATGCATGTTTCCAGCAACGCCGAAATTTTGCAACAGCCAACCTTATTAAAACGTGAGTTCGTTGAACTAAAAGATTTTTAGGCAAGTTGAATATGTCTGAAGAAGAAATAGACCTGGCAAGACGTAAGTATGCATTTGATTCATCCATCCACTTGCGAACAATGAAAAAGGGAGAGGCCCTTAACAAGAATTACGTCTTAAAAGAAATAAATGTTGGTGATGCCTCTGTCGGTCAACTTGATCAACGGGCGAGTTGAACTTCTTAGGCGTATTTATCTCATGGGTAATTCAAGCAACTTGATCTTGGGACTTGAGCTTCCTTGGCGAGTTACAGCCTCAATTTGGTTGAGCATATATGCACGTTGATCACCATAGGGTAGTTATTGGTCATAATTCCCTAGTTGAGTTGATTGATTGAACTGATTTACAATAGCTACCCGTCGGTCAACTTTTTGATGATTTAAAAATTTAATTTAACTATAAGGTATATAGTTTAGATTATGAAAGTAGTGTTTTAATTTTTTAAAAAATGAGACCGAATGGATCTCATTAGTCCAATAATTTGCATAATCGTGTCTGGCACCCTGAATATTAAACATTCGAAGAGAAAAGTGTAGATTCTGGTAACAAACACAATCCTGCAAACTAAGAGATTTGTGACATCCATTTGGTCTGCGAACCGACAAATTCTTCTATTTAATACAAAGATTAAATAGAGTTTATTCTACCTAGGTTCCAAGTTCTCTATAGAGGCAAGCCCCTATAGTCAATTACATCCAAAGTGAAGAAAGTCACTCGAGAAAACTCTCCATAATGATCAATGGTTCTAGTCTTCAAGAATTCAAAGTTTAGGTTT